TTTCTCATAGTTTCGTCTTTTCTTTTCCCTCTGACTACTCCTCTTACAAACACTACTTATTCCGTTGATTATCAAATTTAACCTTTAATAGTTTAGGAAATTCGTAAGGCTTTTCACCAATCTACAACAACCATACCAACAACGGCAAGAATACCAAGCTACATCAACCACAGTAAACTACACCAACCGCATCAAATTAGACGAAATACATCAACTACACAAGACTTAACAGTACTACACCAAACTTTACTGATCTACACCAATTACACCAAATTGTACCAAATTAGACCAAACTATACCAAACTCAGCAGACCACACCAACTACACCAAAATGCCCCAGTTCACACCAACTACATAGAAATAGACTAAATGACAACCGAACTTAGTCCTCGCTTACGTTGTCAAGAACATAGTCTATACCCATGACGCTAATGATGGATCTATAACCGAAATGTTTCCTTCCTGTGCTTTTCTTCCAATGAAAAAAGGCGTTTTTGATGATTAGTGATCTCTAAAACAAAATTTGGTACATTAACAAACGATTCTCACCTCTCGTGTGGATCATTACCACTCCTTCCCATGTGTTGTAAATGTGCATTTTCTGAAAACTGTGGTGGAGAGGCGCCCTGAAGAAGAAAGGTTACAAGGAAACATTGGTGACGCCTTGATGCTGTGGTAGTTATCAATAAGGTATATTGTGTTACTCAAATGTCAGATCCGAAATACTCTGCCCAGTTTGAAGATATTTATTAACGAATTTTCTTTTTTCCCAATAGATCAACGCTAAACTCACTAGATTTAAAGCATGGTCAGCTTTCGCTAACGTGTATTGTGCGCTTATCGTAACAAACATATTTAGATCCAATGTACCTAATTCTCTTCTTAGTACCAAATCATGACAAAAAACAGTCGAAAATCAGATATGCAACTTTTCAGGTATATCAGAAATTGAATATTGCATAGACGTTGACAAATGTTAGTATTTACTCTTTCTTTTATCATATTCGCTTGGCCTCTGAAGAGTACTCTTTTTACCAAAATAACATGGTTGAAAATTAAAGCTATTGATTGTCATTAAAAATATTTGAGTTTTCTATCAGATAGTATTCTTTAAAAGATATCTTAATGAATGATCCATTTTCACATTGCAATGTACAATCAAATTTATCGGTGCATACTTAAAGAGTGATGGTATCTAGACGCTTACCAATGTATGTTGAGATGCCATCACATCTGTAACCAATAACTAAAAATAAAAAACAAAAACAATATTTGCGAAAGAGGGCATTTGTTGTTCAAACTATTTGAATTTGATTTAAGGTTTGTAAACCGAGGTCATAAAGGCAAGTTCTCTTATACAACTCTAAATTAAATGTCAATCTGCTTTCACCAAAAATATTTATGAAAATACGTTATAAAGATAAGTAATCAGTGGCAAGCAACACAGCAAATGACACGATACAATGTTTAGCAGCATTTAACCCCCAGGAAATTTAGTGTAGCTGTGTCAATATGAGCTTTGTGAGTAGCCTACAAACTAAGCTATGAGAAGAACTTGAAAGGCACAACTGATGAATATTTGTCAAGAGTTACCTTGTTAGACAGCTATATGCCCGTGAATGTCAAGATACACTGTGAATAACTTTTTGCGATGTTCCTAGCAACATCTCTTGACCGTAACGTTGCCTGCAAAAGTTTAAAACCAAAACGGAAGCGAATATTAAACTTATTTGCACTTTCTCCCAGATGTTTTCCTAGGAAGGTAAGGCGGTTTCAACTGAGTGCCAATCGTCGAGATCGCTTGCAAAAATTAGTCTCAAATTTACGAGCTTCCTGTCAACTTGTAAATGTTGTGTACGACCTTTTAATTTGAATGGCAGTAATTGCAATAGCACTTAAAAATTTATAATCAATATTGGTCTCACCTATGGATTGTGGTTTGACAGTCATGCTCCAATATCATACGGGGTTTTCAGTGGCGACGTTACTTCGAAGGGAGAAAAGCCTCATGGGAACGGAGTCTCTTGCGAACAGCTCATGGTTTCCGAATATGATAATTATTTCACTTTCGACCCGAAAAGAAAACGGTGTTACAAATATTTTGTTCATGTTAAAAAAGGTCTTGTCAAAGGCACATTTCTTTTCCCTTCTTTTATGTCATTGTGAATCGACGTCACGGTTTCCGCCAGCTCGAGAGAGAGCTCCCGTTATGTTCTCCAGCCTTTCATGAGTTGAGGAGCGTTGATCGCTTCATTGATGTCGTTCTTCCTGCTCAGTCTCGAAAGCAACTCGCAAAATTCCGTTTTGGCGAAGACTCTCCACGTAATCCTTTAGGAATTTGGGCAATCCAGTCACATGTTTTACTCAAAAAAAAGAAAAAAACAGCATCATGTATTTATAATCTTGCAATGGGCTCCAAAGATGTCTTTCGGTGGTCACTGTAATAGATGTGGAAGGACTGAAAGTTGTGGTAACGAAAACAAGTTCATGTGTAATTTTTTTGTGAAGAAGAAAGTTTTACTGCCATCATAAAATCCATACTGGCTTTTTGGGGCATATTCTTTAGTTTTGTTGATATTGGAAGGAATGACCGCCAGCTTGGATATTTCCTCTGGAAAACAGAAGTTGACAGTTTTAGTAGATACCAACTGAAGGATGACCCAACTGATTGAAGGTAGCTTTGTTTTTCGTATTCCTCCACTTTTTTTTTCTGAAATCTGTTTCTTGTTGGCATAAATGGATCACTTTGCAAACTGAGTCACATGAAGAAACGTCTGAGAAACTTATGTTGTGCTACTACATCTCTTACGGCGCTGAAATCGGTGGTGAAGCCGCTTGAAAGGTGTTCCATGTCAGTCCTCCATGGTCAAACCTCTGTTTGAATTAATTCCCTCATTTTTTAAGCAAATCCACAGCACGAAACCAAGCTGACATTTGAAATTGAATGATAAAAACAGAAAAGCTTACATATGAGGCCAATACCTGCAGTGGGTAGAAGTGTGGATTCATGAATTATAACCATTGCGTAGACAAAAGCTCCCGTCTGATTGGCTAAACTATATCTGACTCAGACATCCTATGGAGCATTTTGGTTCCTGTCCTTTAGTATTTATACAATAGAGAATGAAAAGAAAATATCACGAGAAAGGAGAATTTATATGTCTGCACAAAGTTTCAAGTTTTCGTTGTTTAGAGTCAGTTCGTAGTGAGTAGGTAGTGTCAGGTTTGATTCGTTAAAGACTAAAATTTTAAGCTTAATAAGATTGAGCCTGAGGCTCAGCCATTCAACTCGACTAAAGTTACAACTGGTGTCAGCACAGCGTGTCATTTTCACCTGTTTTCCATCTTTATGGAAATTGATAAAAAATCTAAATTTTGCAGGAAACTCACACTGTTCCAGATATTGTTTTGTGCTTTATGAGAAGACTGGGAATAAATCAGGATAGTTAGGGTGAAGAGTGAGGTGCTGTAAACACAGAAGTACTTATGCATTTTTTTCTTTAAATGCCGGATACTCAGTGAAGCTCCTTGCTCTAAATTTTTAGAGTAGCTTTTTATAGACAACGGACTTATTTTCCCTTTTCTTGTTTCGAAATGTTAACACTTTTGTTTCATTTGTCCTTATTTTACAATAGTGTTGTGCCGCCCAAATGCTTTGAGAAGTTTTTAGGAGGACAGCGAATGCGACTGAAACCGGAAGCTATCAGGCGTACATTCACAACGAATGTGGATTCTACCAGTGTCAGACACAAGCTCGATTTTTGCATGTGACCATGTGTAGATAAGGTAAATGCTTTATTGCTTACATTCTTAAAATCTTTATTTGTTTCGTCACCTTTAACGTTTCCTTCTATGAAATAGCAGACAATGTCTTGCACATTAAAACCGGGAAAGTTGTCTTTTGCATTTTTGATTGACCATTCTAGAAAATCAGGAAGACCATGGCTTGTGAGTCCCGGTTCAAACGTCGCGCTATCGTTGAGTCGAACTCAATTGTATTACGTTCTCGTAGTCGCGACTTCAGCGCAACTGCACTTTATAGCTGCTGACTCGTCAGTTTATAGCTGCTGACTCGTCCCAAGTCGTCTCTATAAAAACATTGCATAGGGAGACTGGGGTCAAATCAGCTAAGAGCTAGAGTACATGGATTCCTCCATAGACTAGCGAGGCAGGAAACTTGTCATAGATGGAAAAAAACTTACGTTACTTCTTCAACAAAAGAAACGACTTCGACTTCCGTTGGGGTAAAAGGAATTTTACAGCAAATTCGGGTCTTTTTTCGCCCGGCTTTGGAAAGCATAGGCGAAAAGTCCTTTGTCGTTATGGATGGTGCATCTGATAGAAGTGACAAGAAGTTGGACAAAGAAAGCAAGAGTAGAAAATAAGATTATATCTTCAGACGGACTTTTCATGAATGGAGAGGAAGGCTCCCTACTTCCGCTTTTGGCGATGCTTGTATTCGAGGAAGTCCTGAGGAATCACCGCAGAATATTCCTTGTTTCTCACCGGTAAGATGTTATCAAATAAATTAACAAGCACGCACTATACCTTCATGGCTGATCCAAAAATATAATCGTGGTCGGATTTTAGCGTTTAAAAATGTCGAAAAGATGGTGAAAAGTAAGTAGTCGATCTCTTTTAATTTTCTTAATTTCACATAAGTCGAATTGACGGCTTAAAGAAATTGTAGTTACTTGTCACTGTATTTCTAGAGTTCTCGGAATTTCTTGGGTTTCTATCTGTAAGTTACAACCTGAAGTTTATAAACGTTTATCTAAGTTCATGAAACTCCAGAAGGCGAAAGTGGAATTGAAAAACAGATTACATTTCCTGAAGAGGTTTACCTAGCGAATTCTATCAACGAAAAAACTGCAACGCTCCAACTTAAGCAAAACGGTGAAACCTGACAATCTCTTAACGGCTTAAAAGTTTTGAAGCAGTGTATAAAGACTATTCGAGTTCAGAGAATGATAAAAAAACTTGCAAATGCAATGGAGATTAGATTCGGAAAATCTCCACAGTTTTGTATCTGTGAATTGTTTAAAAACTTTTTGCTAACTTTTAATTGACACTTGCAAATATCCCCAGTCGCTAAAAGGATAACACTGATTAGCGAAGGGTTCAACGTGTAACCCTCAGTTTTTATCCAACACCGACAATATACCATGACGACTTATTAGGGTTTTATCCGTCACATAATAGATAGGCAACTAAGGCAGGGTTACTTCATAGTCAATCAAAATGTAAATTTATACTAGTACAGAAATTCTAGAATATGAGTTGCATGTTTTGTTCTTGTCATGTAAGTATTATTAAAAACCTTAAATGTTCCATGCTCAAAAATATTTTAGTGTTACTTGTTATGTTTACTGATCATTAAAAAAGCGATGACTCGTGCTGCTTTTTATTTTTATATTATAGACAAGTTAACCAATTGTTTATCTTATGCTTAAACGTTTAGAAATAAATAAATGACTATATCACGCTTCGCTTCAAAAGACAGCTTTTCAGCTTTTGTCCTTGTTTTATATGAATCTCACTTTATATAGGTATATAATGCATACTTCACGACAGAACTAATANTGACTGTTGTCGACTGTGGCACATTTGGGAATGGCAATCAATATTCTTTCTTTTTTTTCCAACTCCCGGGAGTTCTTGAAGAGACTTGAGGAAAACTTCTGAACGTGTCTTCTTTTTCTAGGTCAACAACCGGAGCAATTTTTTTCGAAAATTTCAGCTTGTTTCGTTTGTTTCGCAAGCTTTATCTCGCGGTAACCAGTGGCCTGTCAGAAAAGATGGCGAGTGAAAAGAAACGCAAAGAAATGAAGAGAGTTAAAAAGGCCAGTGTACAAAATGCTGCATCAAAAGAAGCATCGTCTGACGAAGAGATGCTAAGAAGTCGTTTTGCTCTGTGCTAGGTGCTCTGTGCAACTTTGGAGCTGAACGAGGAGAAGAGGAAGATCTAAATGTGAATGGGAACAATGTAGACGGTTTCGAGGAAACGTGTTGCTAGGCAACGCGAGTATTCTGCCGGCCTCTCTACTATATTAGTTGATGTGACCACTTGTCAAAATCGCAAGGATTTGCAAGCAATCGATTCTCCCTTTTTACGAACAGTTACCCATACTGTCTTTTACTTTTTAAAGTTGTATACAAGCTTAAGACTGAACCGATGTGGTTTTGCCAACTGGCTCTCTCTCAAGGCGTGAAAAATGAGATTTAATCGAGTCGCAAATCAAGGGAGAGCTGTCTACATAATAAGGGTGTCAAAATGTAGAAACCTAATCTGAATTTAAGAAATTCTATCAAAACTTGTGATTTGGTGGCAAATTTTAGTCTCACCTTGGAAATGAATTATCGGTGTTGTGCTCTCTGCTCCATCCTCGGCAATCAGGCAAGGACGAAAGAAGAAACGAAAGGCGCGAACGCCAGCCGAAGCGAAGGAAGTGGGACATTTCTGGGACTGGGAACAAGAATTCGAACAGCCTATGCGTGGCTTCTCGAATAATCTTTCTGACGGCAACATGGCGGCGAGAAAATGAAGATGCTTCTTCCAATAAATTAAAGTGTTGCACATGACACGTTCCTTTTTTAGTCAATGTAGTTTAATTTATGTTTGTTGTGAAACATCATAGTTTCTATCAGTATGAGAGAGAATACGTTCTTCTCTAACAAATGTGGCACAAGTTCCTTTCCCTAACCTTTCATAACTTGTCTTTCCTCCACGTTTTGCAACCTAGAAAAGCAACTCGCGATAATCCATTTCAGCCAACACTCTCCACGCACTCCTTTAACAAATTGGGTAATCAGGTCACATATTTTGCTTGTACAAGTCCCTGAACCGATTGTGTATTTGAGATCTCGATCTCAAAGATGGTTTTCGAAGGCCATTGTTTAAGATCGCGTGGAAACTATGAATGATTGGCAACTTAAGTCAGTAAAATTTCACTTTCAGCGTTAAATTCATACTGAGTGTTAAAGCTATATCCCTTTTTTGTTGATAATGGAAGCAGTATAACCGCTAACTTGGACATTTGCTTTGGAAAACCGAAGTTAGATGAAGTAGTGGATACGAAGTGAAGGGTAACACCCAACTGATCTTAGGCAGCTTTCTTTTTCGTAGTTCCTTTAGTTGTTTTCTGAAATATCTCTCTTGTTGGCATCAGTGGATCATTTTAGAAACTGAGAAACACGATGAAACATCCAAGAAAGTTATGTTACCAA